TGTATATTTATTTGTTACTAGACTGACCACAGCAAAAGCTGAAACATGCTAAATTTTCCTTTCATGACCACCAGCCAGCAGCATCTTTCTTCTCATGACAGAGAGCGAGCAAATGAAGAAGCATGGAACATATTCTTCACCAGGACATCATGCATGAGGGCACTTGGTCAAATAAAGCATACCCAACACATACCAATGAAACCACAGAAAGGTGGAGTTTTACCTTTCAAGATATTTCCATTGCAGAAAACGACTGAAGTAGATACTGTCAAGGTAGTCAGCAAAAGGTGCCACACTCAGGTAGTCGTGGATGAGCCTAAGGAAGGGAACAGAGCCTCTCAGAAACAGTGAGGTTCTACTACACAGGAACATACAGAAGACATATGGTGTTGAGGGCTCATTACACATCAAAAGCTTGACAATTTCCAAAGGCTTTGAAGGGCTCTTTGCTCATGAGGCCAGGACTATGCCAAGGACCCCAGACATCATGATGAGTCCAAGGACAAGATATCCAATCTGGGGAGCAATTGAAAGGAAGAAGACAGGCACTTCCCTTTGCAGAGGTTGGCAGAAAAGCAGGGTCCGGACCAGAGGCTCTTTGTTCCTAGAACACCAGTGTTTATGACACAGTGCCAGAGATTTTTGTACAACTGCAAGGTCCGGGGACCAGAGTCCTGAATTATGTTGGATAATGACAACACGATGAAGAACACAGGGAAAACCCTCCAAGCAATGGCTGTTGTTAAGAAGTTTCCTTTTAGCAGTGTTTCAGCCTTCAAATACAGCCACAGGCATAAGCACAATTCTCTCTCTCTGATAATCTGAACAGTCCTTTCAAGATATGGAAGGACTGATATTCGGATAAGGCTATGAAGCAAATATTGAGACAGTGCGAAAAGTTTAAGACAGAGAAGAGGCATCCCAAAATGCCCCCCAAATGCTTCTCCTGGGGGACAGAGACACACCCCCCCCGGCTCTGGAGCAACATGCTGGGCTGGAGGTCTGCAGCAGGAGAAAGGAACTGCCAGAAATCACCCCTTTCCATCAGCAGCCATCCTCTCTGCAGGATCCAACCCAGTGACTACTATCCTGGGGAAATGTGGATATTCTCCCCCAAGAAACTCCCAGTCTTCCCACTCACTTGGTACATTCCTTAAAGAGCTCTTTACATGGCTCCTGCTCCAGTCGCTCTGAGCACAGATTTACTAGATGTGAGGGAACTTCAGGAACATGGTCCACACCCTAAGAACAAAAGATCAGGGTCAAACTTGAAAAAAATATTACACTTCTGTTTAAGCTAGTAGCTGGCACAAGTATTTACTCCAGGATGGTAATGTTTCATTAGGCTAAAGTTCAGCTCTCACTACAGCCACTTACCATACAGCTCATCAGTGCAGTGGCCAGAAGCTATCCACCCAGCTCCTTTTCTTCACTGCTGCTAATTGAGAAGGTTCTCACCTTAGAGCTCAGGTATGTCTCAATCAGGATCTGCCCACACTCCTTCCGTTTTTCATCAGGCGCCACTTCATACTCTACCTATAGAGAAAAGAGGAAAGGAAAGAAAGCATCACCTATTTGCTTTAGGGGCCTGTACGAAGAATAAAATGCAGAAGGGATCCAGATCAGCCATCGGAAGCCCGTGTGGTGTTGCAATTCAAAGTGTCACACCCGGACCTGGGAGACCCAGCTTCAAATCCTCACTTAGCCATGCAACTCCTTGGGCCAGTCATGCTCTCACAATCTAACCTACTTTACAGGGCTGCTGGGAGGACAAAGGGGGTGGGGAGGACCATGTGCACTGCCATGAGTTCCCCGAAGGAAGGCCAAAATACAGGCGATATGGATAGATGATCAAATGCATTGAGCCAGATGAGGAAAGTTGCAGGAAATCCACCACCTGCCCAAGTAGTCTTTGTGAGGAATTCAGTATCCACCATAAACACTCAACACGCAAGTCAACTCTGAACAGGATATGACTGCAGCAGACGCAACAAGGTGAGAGTAAGCCACCTCTGTACACTCAGCCCTGCAGGCAGGCAGTACCCACGCACAGCCACCAGAGGATCCCATGCAGATGTGCTTACCAAAGCATCCAGAAACTTGACACAGCGCATCAGCTCCACCCGGGTTTCACAAAACTGCCGGAAGAGCAAGCGGCCTATGGGCTGCTTCTCACACAAGCTGTGGTAGTCCCGCTCTGGAAAGAGAAAAAGCATTAAACACTGGTCAATATCCATACCAGATCCAAGGAAGATTCAGGAGAGACTGAAGACAGGCATTTAAACCCTCTTCCAGAGAACTCATCCAGTTATTTCCACAGTGTCCATCAGTTTACAGATGGGATGTGCAATCTCTGGAAAGCAAAAATCAAGGAAGAGAATCCACAGGACTAGGCAAATCCCTGGGCAGACAGCCTGTTATTTCTT